CCTGCCTCCTCGGCCCCAGCAAGCTATTTGCAGACTTAAAAGACAAGAACATGTGTTTGATGTGGAGTTTAGCCAATGAACAGGGGAGAGAGACTCTAGATTGGGATCATTAGTATGGAGCTTCACTCCTACTGCTTTTCTTACCACTTACAGAGAAATTCTGGAAGAGAAAAAGAGAGGAATAATTCACCAAAAATGAAAATTGACATCGTTTACTAACCCCCAAGCCAGTTTTTTTTTCTTTCATTAAACACAAACAGTTTTTGTCCATACGACAAAGGTGGATGGAGATTTATAAACCCCTCAAAAGGACAAAACTAGTTCTTGTGTGAAAGTCTTGTTTAGCTGTGATGTGAACTCTGCCAGCCCTTTCAGCACAGAGCTATGCTTTTATATTCTGTGGTTTTATGAAGACTGTCATAGGAGTGATGGCTGCCCCTGTGATGGCCCTTACACATGGATTAAAGTCTAAATTGAGTCGGATTCCCCAAAGGGGACGCAGCGCTGTTGTGGGAGAACGAGGCTGTGGACCTTAGAAATGTGCAAACTTCAAGTGCTTAACAGGAAATGCTCAGACTTGAGCATTTTTGGCCTTCCAGCCTGCTTAGATGTATTGAGGAGCTTTGTAGGAAAATTTCCTTCATTTCTCCTGTTGGATGTTAAAGATCCCGAGCAGTCTGTAAAATGGAAAATATAGGCCTGTCTCTGTGCTAGTATGTTGTGTACATTATAAATGCACTTTTTATTTTTATTTTTCAGGCTCTTTATTTCATTAAAGTACACTCTCTCTGACACTAAATGTGTTAAATACAGCTGTTTTTAAGCTATTGAACTGTGCCCTTTATGTATGTGACGTCTGTTATGATGACTGGTCATATTAATGTGCTCTTGGTTGTGACTAATAAGATAATGATTTGTGAAGTGTTTAGGTTGCATCTTGGTAAGGGTTTTGGAGTAATGCTCTAATGTTCACAGTACAAATTATGCAAAAAAAAAAAAAATCCTGCATTTCACGTTATGTTTGAATATGTGCACGTTTTGTGTTTGAAAATATTGTTGTTTTAAAGGAACATACATTTTTTTTTTTTAATTCAAACGTTTGGGGTTCGTAAGATTTTTATTTTATTTTTTTAATGTTTTTTAAAGAAGTCTCTTCTGCTCACCAATACAGTAAAAACAGTAGTATTGTGAAATATTATTGCAATTTAAAATAACTGGTTTCTATTTTAATATATATAATATAATTTATTCCTGTGATGCAAAGCTGAATTTTCAGCATTATTACTCCAGTCTTCAGTGTCACATGATCCTGGATATTATCTATCTTTCTTACTGTACATTCTAACACTGTGATGCCTGAATTTATGTTGCATATAAACTATTTGCTTCAGTACTATAGATTCACATTATTGGTCCTTTATCTGTTTTCGACCATGACATGAAAATAATAAAACAATGTAAAAAAAAAAAAATGTAAAGCTATAAAATGATAAATTTTTTTCTGACAATAGGCCAACCATATTAGTGAAATTTTCCACCTGTAAACTCAAACATGTTGGTGACCAATCCGGTAGCTGCTGCCATTTAAAATGTTAACCAGCATTTTAGCATTTGAGGTTATGTAGCTCAATCACTACTCTGAAAACTTGCTAATCTCTACATAAATGCCTTGTTTCCATCTTCATTTCTTTTTTTTCTTTCTGATCTGTAGGGTACAAGCTAATAGGAAGTCACTCTGGGGTAAAACTGTGTCGTTGGACCAAGGTAGGTTGTTTCCTCCAATTGATCTCATTGTCAAGGCTCTTTAGCAAGTTTTTTTTTTTTTTCTTTTTTACAGCAGCACAATGTTTCCTGACAGGAACAGTTTTGTCTTTGTATAAATGAAACAAATGCTGCCTTTCTTTTGTTAGTCAATGCTGAGAGGGAGAGGAGGCTGCTATAAACACACCTTCTATGGGATTGAATCACACCGCTGTATGGAGACCACACCGAGCCTGGCCTGTGCCAACAAATGTGTTTTCTGCTGGAGGTAGAGGTCTTTTTTTCCTCCTAATAAATAACAATAATTAATAAAAAATCAATCTGTTACACAGTCCTGCATCTTGACATTGTTTTTTTTGTTGTTGCTGATTTACAAACCTAATTTTGACCTAATAATACCTCATTTGATGGTGCTGAATTAAAAAAAACAAAAAAACAAAAAAAAAACTTTCCATCATGTACAATTTTTCACAGAATTATAATGACAACTTTTCAATTTATATACATCAGCTTTAATACAATTATGAAAATAATGAATCAGTTATGAAACAATTTTACAAAAATGTTTTAATGACAAAAAAATATTATTAAATAAAACAAAATTGCTTCATTTAGTGACAAAGAACTTTACAAATAGAAGTTTACAAATATACTTTTTCACAAAATCTGTAATTTTCTCTCTATTTTTGGATGTAGTAAAACAACCACAGATACACAGATGACTCTTGTCAGAAATCGTGTCTTTATGGGAGTTTTAGCGAATAATAGATCAAACAAAACTTCACCTTGCAAATGTTTGTCAAAAGCAAAAATGCTACAAAATGCTTAATGTTTCGTTAGAAAGTGGGACATGCTTTAACAGAACAGGCACTATTTTTGGAATTAGCACCCCAAAACTTAGTAAGAAACAAGTATTGGATTTCATTCAGCAAATATGAAGTAGGGTGTATATTGCTCGTATTTAGGGTTTGAACAAACCCCTAAACCAAAGTATTAAATGATTGGTGCATAACTCTTTTTAAAATCTTTACTTCAAAAAAATCAGCCTGTGATTTGAAAGATGCCTGAGCAAACAGCTGTGATGTCCATCTGAATGAACTGGAAGTGCAAAGGTAGATGCAGCAGTGATGATTCACAGTGACGCTTGTGGAAAGAAGGTAGCATTCAATATTGCTGTCATTGGCAGTGAGGTTTTATGTGGGGGAAAAAAAAGAGCTGTCAAAGAGCATCAGCGCACCTCCTCTGAAGAGTGGATCTGGGATGATTTCCACCATGAGTGACCCTTACGCTGCAGCACAGCTGAAAGCTGCTCGCTGACTGAAATGGACTTGATTTAAGATCATCACTGTGAGCGTGACGCACACATCCAGCCATAAACTAACAGGACACTGTCTCCTGCCCTACAGCTCCAGGACAGGACATACTGGGACAGCCTCCAGTGCACAAAATCCAACTTCTGTGTCTGTAGTTTCAGCTGCGCTGTCAGATTAACGCAGCAGATTGAAGGCGTCTCAGTGAGCGCTTTGATCCGGTTGTTGAGTGAATCTGTCATTTCGCATCCAATTTTCTCATTGAATCAGCTGATTTTGTGGCATTATGGGGCTTAATGAAGAAAAATCATGGTCTTGAGACTGTCGGTGAACTCTATTTTTATGCCCTTGTGTATAAGCGGTGTATCGGATCTAGTTGTTGGCATCGTGGGTTGTGTTTTGTGTCATGGCGCTGTGACTCAGAGCATTGCGCTAATCAAATTTTCCATCCGTTTCATTGCCACATGCTGCGCGTATCCTCAAATGCCACACAGTTAATGATATAATGCAAATAAATGTGCTGAAGAAGTTTCAAAATGCGAAAGTCGTTTAGTCCTCCGCTTTCAGGGAATGTGATGGAAATATTGAACTTCATGTAAGGGGAGTAATTTGGTTAAAAGTGGCACTAAAAATTATGTGTCTGAAGAGGCCTCTTCATGTGGATGGGCTGGATATTTTAGGTTGTATCGCATGAAACTGAGCAAAGGCATTAGAGGAAAAGCTTATAAACCAATCTCAAACATTGGCTCTTCAGCCCAGAAAGCCCATCTTGACAAAGGCAGGAGGGGAAAAAGATCAAGCCTGTTGATTGTTAATGATATCATCAGTGTTAATATTTTTACAGTGTTTTGATTCCCTAAGCATACCCACATTATAATTTTAATTATTGTAATTTTTTTATATTAGATTGAGGTTTTTTTTATGAGTATTTTCACTCAGATGTCTTGCTTTATTTTAGTTTTTTATTGTAATTTTTTTTAACTAAATAGATTTTTATATAT